CCTCTGAATATGATAGCCAAAGCACTAATAAAACGTTAAACAGAATAGATCTAAAAATAGAATCCTGGCATACCATTGGCTCCATGCTGGCATTGAAAAATTAAGGTCCACTGTACACATCAGAGGCAAAGCAAATGATGAATGAATGTGTGATCCACTTCCTTTGGGACATGCTGTTCAGTAACCGTGAAGGTATCTAATTATGCTCTCATCCACTCCACCTTTCTCCATCCGAGAAAACCCCAAGGATGTCAGGGTAGGGCCAATTTTTAATATTTAATATTTTAATGAAGAGCCTTCTTCCAGCTCAGCAATAAAATGAAGCAGAAAGGAGATGAGCATGCCCGGAATTAGAGAATCCTCACCACGTCCCAGTGACCTCTCCCAACAGGCCCCGGTGTTCTGTCTCTTACATGGTCAGATGGTTTTTCCAGAATAGACACAGGCTCAGCAGTCTGTGTTCCTTCCTCTTTAAAACTGCAGTCATGCCTCTGTTCTGCACAGACGCACATTGCCAGAAAGGCGTGGGGTTCACACTCTCAGGGCTGGGTGTGCTAGGCGTGCAGCCCAGTTCATTGCCATGACCTCGGAATGCATTTTTAGGACTGTGTGTGTGTCCGGTTCTAGGAGCATCTTCCACTCAGGGAGTGTGGTGGTTGTTTATAGGACTGGGAGTCCATGGAGATACATTCCCACATCTCTCAGTACAGAGGCATCTTGGGTTTTTTGTGTGTTTTTTTAATCATTTCTGAAACAGTCTAAATCTGTGGTCATAGAGGAAACCATTTTGTATTATAGCAAAGATATGTGTCATTGTTAAAGTTTGTTTTTCTTCCTGGAGAGGATCGAGTCCTGTACAAAATGTATGAAAATAGCCCTTTTAGAGTGTGTTTTTCTTTACTTTTTGAAGACAGGAGAAAAGGAACGTCTGTTATTTAGAACAGTCTTGGTCTAGGAGACACCAAAGGAAACAGCTGCATCTTACCTCCATGTTAGCTGCTTATCTGCTAACACCATCAGTTCTGTTTATGTGCAGCTCTGGTCCAGGTTCCCAGCGCCTGCTCCAAGGGAAAGAGGCTGGAGAGGTTTACTATGCTTGGGAGTTTCTGAACAGAACACTTATTCTTATAGTGACTTTCTGAAACCTCACTGTGCCTGTGAATCATCGGGGATCATGTTAAAATGCAGATTCTGAATCAGGAGGCCTGGGAGGGGCCTGAGATTTTGCATCTCTAAAGCTGCTGGGGTGCTGGTATTGTTGGTCTGAGGGCCACCCTTGGAATGGCAAAGCCTTAGGCCACTGAGCTAAATTTTAACATACTGATCAAGAGATAAGATATAAACGTAGACATAGAGATGCTGGAGATGAGTGTACTCAGAATAGCGATTACCAGGTAAACTGTATGTAGTAAACTCTAAGCAAATCTGTCAATTCATCTCCAAACCCCCTCTTCCGTTTTAGCCTTCCTAATGTTTGAACAGTATGATCTGCGTTCGTGGTTCTTCTGTAACTTAGTGTTTATGGACTCCTGTATGGCTCGATGTTGCAAAGAAAGCTTTCCATTGTGGCGGGAACATCCGGAGGCGAACTCCTGGGGGCCAAGCTGAATCATTGAGTTTCAGCCCTGAGGAGGCAATTGGGGACACAGAGGCCATTTGTCTATCTGCAGCTGAAAAGAGACCCTATCAGCAGAAATCCCACTCACCCTTTTTCTTCTCTTCTCTCTTATCCTTTACTCTCTCCTTTCCTTTTCCTTACTGTACTTTTCTAACTTCATCATTGACCTCTTCCTTCTTTTCTATCCATTGAATTGTCACCCAGAGACATGGACATGGTGGCATACTCTGGCGCCCTCTAGTGGTTCACTGCAAAGAGCAAGACACAGCCCTAACAGCTTTGACTCCGTGGACAGAGTGTCCTGTCCACCTGTGGACTGAAGGGTCTGGGATGCAATTCTGGTCAGGGCACATACCCAGTAGGGGGCATGCAGGAGGCAGCCCGTCTGTGATTCTCCCTCATCATTGATGTTTCTATCTCTCTCTCCTTCTCCCTTCCTCTCTGAAATCAGTAAAAAAACATATATGAAAGAGCAAGACACAATCCCTTTGCTCACAGTGTTTCTCCCTGATAGGAGATACTGACACTACAGAGAGATGATGGGGCACAGGGAAGGGGCACAGCCCCAAAACTAGATCCTGTCTCCTCCAAGCTGCACTGGTAATAGCAGGCATGGTCCTTCCAAATGTGGGAGGAGGATGGGTTGGATTTTTATCAATCTGGCCCATTTTGCTCCAGTTCAGTCTTTATTTTTATATTCTTGATTTTATCATTATCATCATCATCAGGAAATGATGGTTACCAATGGATAGCTTTTTAAAAGAAAATATATGAGCTTGTCAAGGACAAGTCTCAGTGGTCCATTAGCAGACGAGGTCTAAATAAGCAATGTAAATAAGCCAGGGCACCCCTGAGAACCAAGTCAGCATTCTTCTTCAAACTGGGTTCCTTAAAAAGTACCTTCAAAGGGGTTTTCTAGTTTTGTATATTGTGCATTCAGTTGTATGGGCAATTTTACATTTGCATTGCTAATGGACCTATTTCTGAGTGTGTTTGACATTTTGCTTGGCTTTGAAAGGACTTTTCTGCTGCTGTTTTTTCTTCCCTGAAGCTGTCTAGGGCTAATTAACCTTACTGGCTGGACCTACTATATGCAAATGTTCTCATTTCAGATTCTGACATACTATAATACTTGCATGAACATCCTTAGTGAAATCTTGTGGGGTCTTATTGGATCAGTGCTACTGTAGAGCCAGCAGGGGGCGTATGGAATGGTGGGCTTTGAGTAGATCTATTTTATATAACTTTACTAGTTGGTATGGGAATATGAGAGCTCTTACAGTTCTCATGCTCATGGAGACTCTTGAAATCTATAGATGAAAGATCATTATCAGTGCTTTTTAAGCAGCCAAAAGAGACAACTGTTTTTGGTGTATTGTAGTTTAATTTTATTCTGTCATTGTTTCGAAACAGTGCTGTCATTTAATCAATGTGCCAGTACTGGGTGTAAATTACATAGCTCACTCTGTAAGAGAAGTCTACGCAGAACACAGTTACCTGGGACTTTAAAAGGCTGCAGGTCGGGAGAGTAAATAATTGACATTACTCTTTCTACACAGATATTTCTTCAGAATTAATATTTTAGGTCTTTTTAGTTTTGTTTCTGTCCTAGTCTTTAAAGTGCCTCTGTCCTATGAGAACCCCTCTTATAACTGAAATGCTTTTTGATGTTGAGACACCAAATTCCTAAACCTCCGCCTTCAACATAAACTGATCAGCGTCATTGTGGTTGGGGGACTTGGTCTCATGCCATTTGTACTTTTATCATGATGTTTGTTAGTAATATTTAAGCAAAAACAAAAATGACAACTAAATCATTGGCAAAATAAAGTAAAATTGCAGACCAGGGTGGGGAGTGTAAACTGAATAGGAGATGTGGAATAAGCTGGTGTTAGGAGTGGAGCAGAGGGCTGTCAGAGAAAAGTGTGTAATGATAGGGATATGAAAAGATTTTTTTAAAAGGGATATGCGATTACTTCAGATAGACAAGGATCAGAAGCTGATGGCTGCTGTCGTATTATGGTTTTTTGTTTGTTTTTGTTAATTCAGAGTGTAGAAAAGAGTGTCTGGGTAGGAGGACCACTGTAACCCCAGGGCACGTGATTCCTCCTGCAGGACTTCACAGCTTCCCAAGGTCATAGCACGGTGACATTATGCGTGTGTGCAGCTGCTGCCTGTAGGGGGCGCACATATCTGGCACTTGTCAGCCTGGTTCCAGTAGCTTCCATTGATGTTTTGCCTCTTGCCAGCGGGCATCTCTTTGTCCACAGTCATGGTGACTCAGAATTCAGTATTTACTGGGAGACTGAGATATGTGTCTAAGAAGAGGCTCCAGGTGCACTGTTGGTATGTTTGAGTGTAAGCACACAGGTTCTGATTGGTCTGAAAGAAGTTTCACCTCCAGGGTTAATGGTAGGCTGGCTGTCTCCAAGGAGAATAGGGGAGAGGGTGTAAAAGGAATTCAAAGGCCACTTGGAAAGACTCAGGGATGAAGCAAGTGTGTAGCCATCACTAAAGAAGCCTTCAGTATACCTGCATGATTATCATATATTTTTAAAAGACTGTAACCATACTCATTTTTAATTGTCTCACAGATTTCTTTTAGTGTTCTGTTATCATATGAGTGGCTGTACTGGGAATTCTTGTCAAGAGAATTGTTGCAAAGTTAGGGTAGACCCAGAGTCAGGTGGCATCTCCGAGTGGTAGCTCCAATAGACGGGGATTCAGAGAGAACATGCAAAGCCTGTGAGGCTCTCACTCCTAGCCTGCCCCTCTCAGGGGCTGGCTCAGAGGGCAGGGCCCAGGGACATTCACTATGTCATTCTCCCTGTGGGTTTCCTTCGATTTTCCAACGAAGTGAAGAAGAGGCGAGGCATGGGACCAGCATTTCTGAAAAGAAAACTTAAGAAACACATAGTCTACCTTCTAATAAGAAAAAAAGGAGGAGGTATTGAGAAACGTGCCTTAGGGGAGTTAACTTCATGAAAAGGCTCTGCTTTAAGGTTTTGACTTGCTCCATGTCTTAATCGCCTTCCTGATAGGCTGTCCACCTGAGGCCACTGTTTTAACTGTGTCAATGCCGGGGCTAGAATCACGTTTTCAGAATTCGCAATGAGGCCAAAGCCTCGTCTTAGTCTTGGGAGGACGTCCTTTTCCCGTGCTGATGTCTTGATTTCTTTTCCCTCCTTCCCTTTCTCTGCCTTTCCTTCTTCCTGCTCCCAGATTCCAGAGCTGCTGCTGGTGGACCGCACCCACGGGGAGATGATTCCTCATGAAGAGCCTGGATCCCCTACAGAAATCAAATGTGACTTTCCGTTTATCAGACTAAAACCAGAGCCAGCCAGCCAGTGAAGCAGTCACCGTGGAGGGGGGACGGCGAAAAATGAAATCCAACCAAGAGCGGAGCAACGAATGCCTGCCGCCCAAGAAGCGCGAGATCCCCGCCACCAGCCGGCCTTCGGAGGAGAAGGCGGCCGCCGTCCTGCCCAGCGACAACCACCGGGCGGAGGGCGTGGCATGGCTCCCGGGCACCCTAGGTGGCCGAGGCCACGGTCACGGGGGCGGGAGGCATGGCCCGGCGGCGGCGGGGACCTCGGCGGAGCTTGGTTTACAACAGGGAATAGGTTTACACAAAGCGCTGCCCGCGGGCCTGGACTACTCCCCGCCCAGCGCGCCCAGGTCCGTGCCGGCCGCCACCACGCTGCCCGCGGCGTACCCTCCCCCGCAGTCCGGGACCCCGGTGTCGCCCGTGCAGTACGCGCACCTGCCGCACACGTTCCAGTTCATCGGGTCCTCCCAGTACGGCGGGCCATACGCGGGGTTCATCCCCTCCCAGCTGATCTCCCCCACGGCCAGCCCCGCCACCAGCGCGGTGGCCTCCTCTGCCACCGGGGGCATCTCCACTCCATCCCAGCGCTCCCAGCTGGAGGCCTATTCCACCCTGCTGGCCAGCATGGGTGGCCTGAGCCACGCCTCGGGACACAAGGCTGAGCAGCAGCAGCAGCAGCAACAGCACTTGGGCAGGACTCCAGGGCTCATGGCTCCGGGGTCCCCACCACCCGCCCCACAGAACCAGTATGTCCACATCGCCAGCTCCCCGCACAACGCAGCAGGGCGCACGGCCTCCCCGCCGGCCATCCCCGTCCACCTCCACCCCCACCAGACGATGATCCCACACGCCATCACCCTGGGGCCCTCCCCCCAGGTCCTAGTGCAATACACCGACTCCTCCGGCAGCCACTTTCTTCCTCGGGAGGCCACCAAGAAAGCCGCCGAGAGCAGCAGGCTGCAGCAGGCCATGCAGGCCAAGGAGATCCTCAACGGGGAGCTGGAGAAGGGCCGGCGCTACGGGCCCCCCACCTCGGCCGACCTGGGCCTGGGGAAGGCCGGCAGCAAGTCGGCACCTCACCCCTACGAGTCCAGGCACGTGGTCGTGCACCCCAGCCCCTCCGACTACGGGAGCCGGGACTCCTCGGGGGTCCGGGCCTCCGTGATGGTCCTGCCCAACAGCAACACCCCCGTCTCCGACCTGGACGTGCAGCAGCAGCAGCAGGTCGCGCACCGCGAGGCCTCCCCCTCCACCCTCAACGACAAAAGCGGCCTGCATTTAGGGAAGCCAGGGCACCGGTCCTACGCGCTCTCGCCCCAACAGGCCCTGGGCCCCGAAGGCGTAAAGGCCGCTGCCGCCGTGGCCACGCTGTCCCCCCACACGGTCATTCAGACCACGCACAGCGCCTCGGAGCCGCTCCCGGTGGGGCTGCCGGCCACCGCCTTCTACGCCGGGACCCAGCCGCCCGTCATCGGCTACCTGAGCGGCCAGCAGCAGGCCATCACCTACGCCAGCGGCCTGCCCCAGCACCTGGTCATCCCCGGCACCCAGCCCCTGCTCATCCCGGTGGGCGGCGCCGACGTGGAGGGCGCGGGAGCCGCCTCTGCAATAGCCACGTCGTCGCCCCAGTTTGCAGCAGTGCCTCACACGTTCGTCTCCACCGCCCTCCCTAAGAGCGAGAACTTCGGCCCCCCTGAGGCCCTGGTCACCCAGGCCGCCTATCCGGCCATGGTGCAGGCCCAGATCCACCTGCCCGTGGTGCAGTCCCTGGCGTCCCCGGCCGCCGTGCCCCCGGCGCTGCCCCCCTACTTCATGAAAGGCTCCATCATCCAGCTGGCCAACGGGGAGCTGAAGAAGGTGGAGGACCTGAAGACGGAGGACTTCATCCAGAGCGCGGAGATCAGCAACGACCTGAAGATCGACTCCAGCACCGTGGAGAGGATCGAGGACAGCCACAGCCCGGGCATCGCAGTGATCCAGTTCGCCGTCGGGGAGCACCGGGCACAGGTAACGTTCACCCAGGTCCCGGGCGGGGACACACCCGCCACACACCTTCCTCACTTCCTGGCGAGATGAGTGAGTCTTCCGGGATGCAGACTCGGCCATGCTCTGGGGAGAAGGAAAGGCTTTTGTTTATACCCAGACTTCAGCCTCTGAGTCTTCTCTAAGAAGATTCTCGAAGGGAATTAGCCCTGGTGTCCCCAAGACACCTGCTGTTTGCAGTGATCTCACTTCCCTGCACCTGGAGTGAGGCTAGTCAGGGCCCAACCTCAGGACAACTTAAGGAAGTCATCACTCAAGTTATGTTTTTGTTCTGGAGTTCAGATGGGAACCTGACTGAGAAAGGCTGGGTTAAGGCCCTTCTAGAGGCCCATCTGCCCCTCTTTCCCTAACAGGAAGGGACACTGATGGCCAGGTAAGGGTATTAGATGCCCAGAGTCACCCATCATAGCTCACACCAACATCTGTGTTTTAAAATGCAGGTTTTATTCTTGGTCACATGTGGCAAGGCCAAGAGGTGAGATAATGGCCATTGAAAACATAGTTTCTTATACTCCCAGGTCCCAAGAGGGGACATGCCACATGGGGCAGCACCAGGCTCAGTCAGGAGGCAGAGGGAGTGAGGAGAAAGGGGCTTGTTGTGGTTTCTGTGGGGAGGAGTGGGTGATAGGATGAGTAGGTGTAGGAATGGCTGGTTTGAATAATTTTATAGTGGGCTCTTCTCCCAGTTGTCTGGTTCCTGCTGTGGGGTGCCTGGGACAGGTGGGCAGTGCCAAGAGTCTGAGCCTTGCAGAGGAGTGGCTGTGTGGTTTGCATGTGAGGGGTATGCTCCCAGCAGAGTTGATTGCTATCTATAGGAATTAGCTAACCCCAGAGGGGCGATCCCGCCAGAGTCAGCAAGGCCCCCGGATGTCAGAGCACCAGAACACAGAAAATAACGGGCAGCGTTCATATAACCCGAGAAGTCAGGGCTCTCCCAGGTGCTCTGCGAGGCTTGGTGTGAATAGGAACCCCAAGAGTCATGTGCAGCCAAGCTGACTCAGGTTAAAAACTAGAACTGGGATCAACTCTCTTATAATTTCCCTGGGCTACTTCAGTCTACCCTTTTCCAGGCTCTTAAATCTCTCGGATGCATTTATTCTACAGCCCCTTACAGCAAACAGCAGCATCGCTGCCCTGGTTGATTGAGTCAGACAGGCCCCCATGGGAACTCTCCTGGCTGTAGTACCCACTATCTGGGGATGTTTCCATCAGGGACTTTGAAACTCTCGGATGTGACAGCACCTCCTTCAGGTGCGTGTTGGAAAAGGGTCAAGGCTTAGCTGATACCGTGTTTCCCCGAAAATAAGACCTAGCGCATGGAAAGATAAGACATCCCCTGAAAATAAGACCTAGCACAACTTTGGGAGAAAAAATTAATATAAGACACTGTCTTATTTTCGGGGAAACAGGGCAGTTGGGACCTCTATAGAAAATAAAACAAACAAAAAAAGACAAACTAATGGTTTGAGTTGTTTTAAGTGTAATTTTAAAAGATCGAGTGAAGTGGAGGGAGGCCAATTTTCCAAAGTGTTTTCCAGAACTCCTTTTGAATGACCGGATGTGGGATCTTGCACAACAGCCGGGACCTGCCTTGCCAAGAGCTTTTAGCCTCAAATGCTTTTCTTTTTTTATGGTGAGATATCACCGTGGGTTTAAGACTCTTTGGTAAGACCCACAAGAGATTTCCCAACGTTCTGATTCAAAGAAAGAGCAAAAATCAAGATTTTTTTAAAATGGCAACATTAGGTAGAACTCACTACCCATTTGTAGTTGCTGCTCACTCCAACCTTCCTACATGGATTGGGGTGGGACCTCATAGGAAAAAGGAATTCTCTTCAGCAAAGCTGTCTTTTTAACAGCCCCCAGGTGAGGCATGGAAAATGAACAAGTATGAGAAGTAAATATGTTTTCCATGGTACTTTTTTTTTTAATCCTTAAAGCGTTAGTGTGCGCAGAAGTAGGAATGGAAAGAGGTGTGATTTTTGAAACCCTCTTGGCTCCTTACCAGCATTTCTTTCAACGTGAGAAGAAAGAGCCGCGCTGGCCGTGGGCCGCTTCTCCGAGGCCCTGGCAGCCTCTCGCACCAGCGTTCACAGCCTCTTCAGGCTTCAAATGGGCCTGGCAGGTCTTGGAGAGGAAGCAAGCATCTCTCTGTGTATTCCCTGCTTGATACTTTGCAAAATGAACGCCTAAATGATAGAGAAATTGGCTTCCAGGCCAAGTCTCATTACCTTCCCGTAGCCAGACCACTAGTCTCTCTGCTGACAGCCAAGGTGCAAATTAGAAGGTGGAGTGTTTGTCACAGCCTGTTCACGGGTCTGTCAGGAGGGCCCCTGTGCGGTCCGGCTACATGCTGGGAAGGGCTTCTGTGAAGACCTGCGAGAGAGCTATTGTGGAAACAAGTGCAGGGCCCCGACACAGCCAGTGATTTGTCACTCTCCCGGGAGACTATCAGAAACAGGCTGACATCATCACCTTGAAAATACTCCCCCAGCAGGGCCTGCCTCAGTGACAGAGCGTAGTCCTGGAGAGTCAGAGAGAGCTCCGATCCAGCTTTAATTTATGTGCCCAGGACCCGGTACTTCCCTCCGTGACCAGTGTCCCCTGGAGCTCTCTTCCCAGCCTGAACATCAGTCCATGTCTTCCCTGCTGGCTAGAATCACTAACCCTGGCACCTACAGGGAGATTAGAAATGTGCAAATTGTTTACTTAATTAGCAAAATCACAGATTAGATTGGGAAAGTTGAAGGAGCAAGGCTGGTTTTTCTATAGTAGGTATAAATCCTAGCTGGTTGGAGGGCCTCAGGGAAGCGTGACCTTATAAAACCCAAGCAGGATCCCGAGAAGGCCTTGTGGCACAGAGAAAGCCAGCCGGGAGTCCGAGTGCGGGTCAGCTGCCAGATCAGTTGTTTTACCTCTCAGAGCTGCCATTTTTCTCATCTCAAATCAGGTAGCTGACCCCCTTCCACCTGGTGATGCCTGGGCCTCCTTGTTCTGTAATCCTCAGTTTTCCTTCCTGCCTGGCAGGACTGCCCTCGTGAAATTGGCCTGCATCAGCACCAGAGCCAGGGGCCATAGGGCATCTCCGCTGACCTCATGCTCAGGACCCACCATAGATGGAGGGGAACCAAAGCCAGCCTGTGTGAAACAGAGGGGCTTTATTTTGGTAATTATTTTTAAAGAGCTGATTTTCTTCTTGTTGTTATTCAGAGATGCCTCCGATGTTGTTTCCAGCTGAAGCACCAGAGGAGGCAGTGTAAGAGAAAAGTACTTTCCCCTTTCTGTCCCCATCCCTGGGGCTGGTCCTATGCGACAGGGCATTTCTGTGCACGCCGGTGCCCACCCCAGGTGTTACCCCTTACTACCACAGGCGCCACAGGAAGCTTCTTTGGGCCACTCTTAGCGGCCAGTCTTAGTTCTCTTCCGGTGAAGAGCAGGTAGCACATTCCCTCCACCCCTGCTGGGAGGAGAGGGTCACTGCTTCCATCCAGCCACTCCCTCAGCCCTGGAGATTCTGCTTGGAAGCCCCAAGGGACAGTAGAATCATTTCCCTCAGAGCTTCACTCCCAAATACAATTCACCTAATATTCTCCAAGTTTGAGGCCATAGGTCTGTGGCAAGTCCCAGAAAGGATCCCAGGCAATAGGGGGTGGAGCATCGCCTGCCTGGGCGGGAAGCAGGTTGGGTGGAAGGAGAATGTGGGATCTGAAGCCAGAAAGACCTCTCAGTCTGATCTGTCCCCCACCACTCTGTAACGCCGGGGCCTTGTGTAAATATTTACATATAATTGCCCAAGTAATTTATCATGCACATTCTACCCAAGCCTTCCATTCTTGGTTCCGTAGTGGGAATAATGTAAGAAAATACGTTCAAAAGAACCCGCACACTGTGTAGCACGTAGTGGGCCCTCAACCATGTTAGTGTCCCTGCTTTGCTTCATTTAAGTTACTATGGCCCTGAGAAGGGCAATGGTTAGCTTCTGAAAAAGAAAAGGCTCTGTGCACTAAACAGAGTTTATGGAAGGAGAGAGAGTTTGGAAAAGCCCAGAAAGAAGGCTGAACTTTCCAATGAGCTAGGTTTACCCTGCCTGCGTTCCTGTGGCATGTTCCCATGACGGGCCCGGGAGCACACATACAGCTACTTCTACATGTGTGTACATGCCGTGCTTTCCTGAGTGTGCACTGGACTGGAGGGATGGGTGTACGGTCCAGCCCTCCACGTCAGTGCGAGGACCCAGGAGGTGACAGGGGCTCATGGGCCTCTCCTGCAGCATGCCCGCTAGGAGAGCCCCACCCAGGGTGGCCCCACCTGGGCGGGGGGGACAGAGGAGGGCGGGTGTCCTTCAGTTTCCATCTGGCAGACAGTGTTCTGTATGTGAGCAGCCTCCTACCCCTCTGCCTCATGCTCCCCGGGCCTCAACTTTTCTGAAAAGTACACACACTTTACTCAGAAGACTTGGAGTCGATCTTACTTGTAAAGTGCTCTGGGGCGAGACTTCTCTTGGGCTGCTTCTCTCCTAACTGCCGAGCTCCTTATGTTAGTGGGATTGTCTGTCGTTTCCCAGATCCTCCTGGGGTGACTGCTTCCCTTTACCGCCTAGGCAGCCGCTTAATATTCAGTGCCACTTCCTTCTCCCAACTGTCCTGGTGTGTCTGTGTGTGTGCCGATTCACTTATACAGCACATTATAATGATGTGCTTACCTCACATTTACCAATGGCTTTTCGTGCATCCCACTATTTTTTAATTTGACTGCTGTGTTCTGTGAGTCATCCGGGGTAGCGTTATGCAGTTAATGGATTAGCTGCTGCCTAAAAATAGCCGAAGCCCTCATGCAAGCAGCACATAAGTGGGTACAGCCCCTCGGCCGCCAAGGCAAGCCGACCTGCCAGCGTTTCACATGCAGAGCCTGCTGGGAGTGAGTCTTAATGACCAAAGAGAGGTAGTGGCTGCTCTGTGTTCGAA